GCTGCGTTTCAGGCTGTATCCCGCAACCGGAACGTATCCTCGGTCCGCCGCCACCTTTGGTTGTCTGAAGCGTTTTGACCATATGTCGCTTGAGTCAAAATGCTCCCCTTACGAGTTCTATAACAGTCTCGCCCGAGAGTCGGATAACACGGGCTTGGAGCCGTCCCGGGTGAGTCTGACATCCACTTTGTGGCCTCGCAATGCTTACGAGTTGACACAGGAGCGTTACGAGGAATTTGTGCGCATGACTCGCCAGTGGCAGCATCTGGCGCTGCTGAAACGAGCTGGGCGAGCCCATTCGATGGATGAGGATCGGATCCATGATACCAAGGCAGGGGAGTGTGCGCTCCTGTGTCCTGCGTGTCCCCAGCCCGGCAAGAACCTCCCGCCCGACTGGGAGAAGGTGCCGTTCGAGAAAGGGTGAGTCAGAGCACATTTTAATGAGCCAAGATACTTACGTCTACCCTTAGCTTCCTCTATGCCCTGTACCTTGCGATCGACGCCAATTTTCGACTGAAGCGCAAGGATGTATCGACGGAGGAAAAGGATCCGGGGCTGGGCGAGGGATGGGCGTTCTTTGGGGAAGTCAAAGCGTACATGAAGCATCTGGATAAGTACTGGAATGAGAAACAAGAGGTGTGTGTGTCTATTCATCATGGGAGGAAGGCGTATATTAACGGTGTGGACCAGCGAAGTACGTGCGTCGCCCACGACGCGGTGGACAAGCCTGACCGCGAGTCTCTTGGCACGGTATCGTCGGGAATCGGCACGGTAGACTGCGCGCGCCACAACATGAAGCGCCCCAACGGGGTTGGGGATCTGCAGAAAGGGGAACGGTACGTTTAAATGCTGCAGGGCGTGGAGTACGCTAACGTTACAAACAGCTACATTAACATGGACTACTTGTTCTTTATGAGCCTTGCTGGCAGCGCCGTCTCTCGCCTCTACGTCTCTTACGATATCGCGTGCCAGTGGCACAAGACTATCTGGGAGCGTATGAAGCTTTTTGTGCAGTACGGCGTCGAATTCAAGGACAACAAGAAGTGGGTGGTGTTCCTCGTGCCGAAGTTCCACCTCCCCGCCCACATCGAACTCTGCAATATCTTGTTCTCCTTCAACTTGACGCCGTTTGTTGGGCGAACGGACGGGGAGGCGCCAGAGCGGGGCTGGGCCGACGCAAACCGGCTCGCGAACAGCACCAGCATCTCGGGCCCGGGCGCTCGGCGGGATACGCTAGACGTCCACTTCCAGTATTGGAATTGGAAAAAGATCGTCGGGCTAGGTGAGGATCCTCTATCCCTTCTTACACCACGTACTCACCGATTGTAGGGAAGACGCTTTTGAATCGCATGAAAGACGCCGCTCCACTTATGCTCGAGACGCGCGCTGCATGGGTCGACTTCGAGCGCTCCTTTCCCCCGGACGTGATCGAGAAGTGGCTCGCCATGGCGGTCCTATGGGAGCGCGACGAGAGGAATCCGAACCCATTCGCGTCGAAGGTGAAGCGCGAATCGCTGGCGCAGGTGCGCCGCGACCTCGCGACGGTTGCCTCCGAAGACCTCAAGAACGAGCGCGTTCGTGGTGACATGCACGAGACTGAGATGCTCTCCATGGGCATGCAGCTCGAGGTCCAGCAGTGCGTCAGCTTCTGCCCCATAATGACCCGTCACTGACTACCGCGTCTAGGCGCGCGCTTGCTATCCATGTGCAGCACGTCGGTCCGCACGAGACTGTGGATCAAGGGCGACGACGCGTCGACCAGGAGACCAAGCTTCGTCGCAAGATTGATGCTTGGATGGTCGTCCAGCAGCTCTTCATCCCCGAGGTGACGCTGCTGCGGGAGCAGGAGGACATTGCGCGCAAGCGCGTGGCGGCGACGCAGACTCTCCCTGGCGTGCGAGCGCAGGATATGAAGCTGTGGATGCCTTCCGCCATCGGGGCCCGCGCGCAGTGCGACGAAACTCTTCGGGATTATGAGTTCCAGTTGCGCAAGGGTCAAGCCTTCGCCGCGCTGGATGCGATGCGAACCCAGCTGATCCTGCGGACGCGGGAATACCACTACAAGGATGCTCGTGCCCACGTCAATAAGGCCAAGACTCGCTCACAGGCCAGGATCAAAGGGATCCAGGCGCGAATCGACGAGGCGGCAGCGGAGTACCGTGTCGCGCGGTCTGCTCTGGTCTCCCTCGGGGTGGTGCTCAGACGGACCGAGTGGCAGACGGAGCTGAAGGTGCTGAAGGAGCACGACGCGCGCCCCCGGCCCAATCAGCATTTCGGTGACGTCGACCGCCAGAAAGGAGGGAGCAGGAGGAAGAAGCAGCGTCTCGGCCAAGAGGACGACGAGGCACGGCTGCAGGAAGAGGCCCTGGCCAAGATGGGGATATCGTGGATCTGGGTGGTGCAGGACGGCTCTCAGACCCCGGAGAAGGTCGAGCATAATGAGAGTAAGTCGTACCGCATTGTCCCGTATACTCCAGACTGACGGCGTGCAAGTCTTGCGTATAGAATGGGCCAAGATCCGCGCGAAGGCCATGCGCTACTCGGAGGAGGTGGACCTCCTCGAGGAGGAGATGCGGCGCGTAACGCAGTTCCTCACCTGGCGGGCGGATTGGTGGACGTCGCTTGTGGGGTTGCGGTCTGCGCTGCAGCCCGACGAAGCCTTGCGCGAGGGACACGCAGCGTATGCCATAAAGCAGGCCCGCTATATGGTAGGGATCCGTGACCGATTTGGTCTCATGTGGAAGGACGTCCCAATCCTCCTCCAGATAACGCGTGCGGCGTACGCCACGCTGGGGGAATCTGACTCTTCTGACTCGTCTGCCTCAGAGCAGGAAGACGACGGATGAAATATCATTTTACTGTATTATCCTGTGTCACGTCTGGTACATCTTTATATATATTGTAGCTATATTGTACCCCCACACTTGCCCGCCTTTGCGAAGCCCCTGGTGAACAAATGCGGCCTGCGCTGAAAGCTGACTTTTGGGTGAGAGGCCCGATTTGGATGATTGTGTCAGCGTGTTTAGACGGTTCTGACCAAACAAGGCAACATACGCTGGACACCGTCCACGACGGCGAGCTCACCACTGCCCGCGACGTCTACGGTTTGGCTGGCCTACCTACCTAAATGGCCACTTATTCTCAGGTGATACATCATGGCGCATATATGGTGATAGCTCTGGATACATCACGGCCAATCTCTCCTGAGAGAGGCGTGATGTATCACTCCCCCACTAAGTAGTGTGTGTTCTCCGCGAAAATACGGGTTGATGGCCCTGGGCGTCTAGCCAACGTTTTTCACTGGGTGTCCAAACGGAGGATCACAAGATCAAGGCGCCCACATTCAATGTGATCGGTAACTGCTTGTCCTCAAATTTCCTCCCTGCGCGACCAAATTGAAGGGTGATGCTCCTTTTCTTCCTGCTGCCTCTCCCGGCCCTGCTGCAGGTCGTCGACGCGCTCCTGAACGTCACCGTCGACGATGTGAGCCCTATGATAAGCTACTCAGGGATATGGGAACCGTCCTCCTCCCATTTGTCTGGACTCGACCTCGGAGGAAGCCACACGCTGAGCAGCGACTCGTCTGCTAGTGCGACTTTTCTGTTCACCGGTGCGTCTTCTCCTGCTCGGCCCCAACCCCTCTGATGCTTTTGCCATGTCAGGCGTTGCCGTGTACTATCTGTCGCCGCGATGGCCTTACGACGTGAGCACTCGGTTAAGCCTAGACGGCGCGCCATCGGTTCTAGTAAACTTAACCGACCCGTCTACCTCCCCGTCGCCCCCAGGCGGTTCAGAGTCTGCCTTGTCCTCTGCAGTCTGGTCTGCAACGGGCCTGGCCAATACATCACACACGCTTGTCGCGACGTACGGGAACTACATCATCGTCGATGGCTTCATGTGCGTCCGCTTTTCGCGCCCTTGGATGCTAGCTGACCTTCCCTCGGGTGTGCAGCTACACCGTGGACAACGGTTCCTCCCCATTAACTTCCTCCTCCGCCTCCGCCTCCTCCTCACCGGCATCGACACTTCCCTCGTCCTCTTCATCGACCTTATCCTCCTCGCTCTCAGCGTCCGCGACCCTCGCCGCGTCCTCCGCGGGCCCATCCACTATTCCCTCCAATAACCGCAGCCTAGCCATCGGCCTCGGGAGCGCCTTCGGCCTTGCTGTCTTCATCGCCGGTGCCCTGCTTGTCTTCGCCTTCTACCAGCGCCGCCGCGCCCTCCGCGCGCGCTCCGCCCGCCCCCAGTCCGGGCTCAACGACTGGAACTCCTATATGCGCGGCCGCGGGCGCTACACCCCCGTCGCCGTCGCCCACACGCTCGAGAGCTCGGACGCGTCGAGCCGGCTGCTCTACCCGCCGAGCAGCAACGGGTACGGCAACACGGACCCCTGGGCGCCCGAGGACGAGGACGGGGGCGGGTATATGCCTGCGTCCGTGTCATCGTCGAGATCCCAGCGTCGCCCACCCGGCGCGATGCCCCCCGCCGTGCCCGGGCCGTATGTCAACCGCTTGCCCCCTGAGGATGAGGACGAGGGCGCGGACGATGCTAGCCCGTTGCTCAACCGTGCGCCGTCATCGAATGAGATCCTGCTCAGTGCGCATCCGATGGACTCACCCGGGGCGGAGAGCGATTTCCGGATATCAGGGCCGCCTGCGTATGAGGAGCGTGAGCGGCCTGGTGCGGGATAGTGCGGTGTGTACTTCATCTGCCTTGGCATTGATATACCCGTCCGACGTTTCACCCTGTGGTCAAGTTGAACCAAATTGACGCAGCCTTGCGAGTCCTTGGATCGTGATGTGCAAGTGATGTGCCTGCTACATACCGGTAATGCGTATGTACCTGGTAGCAGATCGCCGCTCTATCGTAGCTACGTGTAACGCGCGAAGTCGTGTTTGACATCGTTGAGCTCGCATTCAGGTCGCAGTACAGGTCGCGGGAACTGGAAGTTCAAGGCGATGAGAGCAAAAATGGCGCACCCAATCGCGCTGGCAAAAGCATTCCCGCTAGCCGATTTGAACGACTGACCTCGTCATAAGATAGCCTTCCGGGTGATACTAGTGACGCGCTCTACCAACTGAGCTAAGAGGGAGGACACGAGTGGGGCAACATACAGCCCGAGGCAGGTTTCTGGTCACAAATATTGGTGTCAACGATTCGATGTCTCCGAATCCCGTTGGTTTGCAAAACGGTGTTAATACAAAGCCGCTCCAACTTTCCGTCGCAGTAGAACCCTACCTGCGTCCTGGTGAAAATCCGAAGAGAATTCGAGCCGAGCTGCCAGGTACCAAAGCTTCCCGTTGAAGGTCACTCGAAGTGCCAGGCAACCCAGGAGATGCAGCCTGAGAGGTATATTGGTCTGATCTAGTAAGAGTAACACTGCTGGGACTATCCGGGACGTTCCCAGAGACATAGATTTTCATGTTGCTGTACATATGTCATAAGTACCAGAGGAGTTGTTGGCTATCTTCTATAAGGGCCTGATCGGGTGCATTAGAAATTCCTTAGAATTTTCTCTGAATCTAAAATGTGCACCAAACCCGTCCCTAAACCATTTTAGAACGTGTAATTGACCCATTATATGGAAACATTTGCACCGAGAGTGGCGGGCAAGATGTCCAGTAAACTTGTCAGCAAAGTTCTGAGATGGGTTCAGAAATCTCCAGGTTGAATCCAGAATTCTTGAAACGGATTAGCCCTCGTGTTCCCCGCCACCTCGTCTCTTCTACGTATGAGAACGGCATGTATTTCCTCTTCTAGCACAGTTTAGGGACGAATTGTGTGCGAAAAGCTCAGCCAGAAGGATTCTGGTGCAATTCTGAAGAATTGATTCTAATGCACCCGATCAGGCCCTAAGTATAACGGGGTTGTCGGCAATCTGCCTGGGAACTAAGGATGTAAGCTAAAGTCGCCGTTGTGACTGAGAGTACTTGCAGGATGTGTGCAGATGTGCGCATGCAAGTGTTTCGGTCCGGGCTCCGATCACCGCCACAGTTGTTTCATCAGATTCCCGACTCCTTGCCGACTCCCGACCTGCGCCAACTCTGCGCTCGCTGCTATGGTCCCAGATGAGCTAAAAAATAGAAGTGGGAATGCGTGCGCATCTCTGAGAGCTGACCTCGTCGGTGCTTGAACGGCCGCGGGACTCTCGGCGAAGCGCCAAGGCGAGTCAGTATTACTTACACAACTTACCTACAACTTACCTAGGCCACCAACGAAGGGAAGAACGAGCGAGTTGTCCCCATGCCACGTAACTCCTACCTGTCCTCCTCCTCTCCCCCTCTCCATCCACTCACAATAATGGCGAGCTTCAGAATGCAGGCGATCCTTTTCGCGGCAGCAATTCTTCCCGCTCTTAGCCAGCAGACAACTTTCAATTCCTGGGAAGACGACAGCTCTCGATGGACGACTTTTCCGCATCCAATTACTCGCGTGGCGGTCATTGGTGCCGGGCCAGGTGGCCTCCAGGCTGCAGCTCGCCTATTGGAGGCAAACTTGACCGTCCGTCTCTTCGAACGTGCTCCTTCCCCCGGCGGTAACTGGTTCTACACGGAGGAAACACCAGCTCGCGAGGCGTATCCGTACGCTCTTTCCTTTGCTTTCCAAGTCCTTACCCGATTTTGTTCTTATTCAGCAACAGCACAGTTAGAGTGCCGAAACCCAATCTCGGAGAGACTCCTGCGACCCGCTACTATGGAGAGGGAGAGGACGGGATAAGCCTTGATGATCGATGGAAAGAGCATTGGGTGCCCCGCCCCGTGTGGTTCGATCTGCACACTAACTCTCCTGCGGTATGTAGCTGACTTTATGCGCGCTGCCATTGACTGATGGAACGATAACTTGAAGCCTATAACACGACTCCCTGACATACAACATCCTGCGGGCACTGTAAGACAGTATTTGCGACTTTCTCTTATCTCTCTCAACTGTATGCATACTTCAGCCGTGGTTGCTTTCTGTTCACGACCTGGAGCGACACGTCCGCGCGTACGCCTCCCTCCACGGACTTAATGTAAACGACCGGCCGCACTACGACCCAGTAACTTCCTACTCCACCCGCGTCGAAGCGATCCAGAAGTGTAGCGACACGTCAACATGGAAGCTCACCCTCCGACGGCTGCAGCGGTTGTCCGAATTCAATCGGATAAGAGAGGACTTGTGGACTGAGGAGTTCGATGCGGTCGTCATCGCTACCGGTCGTTTTACCACAGCGCATGTGCCCCCAATCCCGGGCATCGACAACTGGAGCGCTGCGACAGAGGAAGGACAATATAGCATGTATCACTCCCAGTCGTTCCGCCACCCAGAGCGGTATGTCGGAAAGGTATGCATATCTTCTGAGCCTCCAACCACACACGCCCGCTGACTTCCGACGCAGACGGTCCTCATCGTTGGCGCCTCCATCTCCGCGACCCAGATTGCGCGGAGTATTGCGCCCTTCGCTCACCGGCTGCTTGCGAGTGTTCGGGTGAGTTTTATCAACTCTTATTCTGAAGTTGAGCTAGTGGGCTGATGAAACCCTCAGCCGAATAAATATCGCGACGCGTACGGATTTGATTTACTCCTCAGTTTCCCTGAGAAGACAGAACTGGTCCCCGAGATATCGTCCTTCGTGCCCTTGGAGAAGCATGATTCCGGCATCAGGAGAGGGAAAATCCGCCTAACAGATGGGTTCGTTCATCGACAGCCCTTTGTTATACTTGGCTCACATATCGCAGGTCTGTTATTGACGGAGTGGACGAGGTAACATACTCATTCGACCACCGTCTGAGTTGTCTCAAACATCCATATTAATGGCCAGATCATTCTTGCCACAGGCTACCGCGCTAATGACTTCCTCCCCGAGTTGTATGTCTCATTGTTTCCTCGTTTAACCCCCTGGATATAAGCTGAACTTGGATTCCAGAGTGAACCCCCAGACCAGTGAGAATCTTCACTGGACGGGGCATTACATCCATGACCCAACGCTGGCGTACATGTCCAGTTTGTGCCTCTGATTGGCATGAAGTCTCAATCTCACAACTTCTCAGGAGTGTGGATGACATCAGGTGATCACCAGAGCTACGCATTCGCAAAGGTATGGACGGGGACGGCACGTCTCCCGAGTCGCGAACGCATGTGGGCAGACTATCAAAACAAAAAGTACCAGTTTGGGAGCCCAGTCGACTTCCTGCTCGACGAAGGCGTGTTTTCAAAGTCGTGCATCCTCGTAGCCTGACGATGATGACCAACCACACAGCCCAACGTCGTCTATACGTCGCGTGGCTGAACAGCGAGTCTCTGGAGCTCGGCGGCCAGTTTGTCGCGCCTCTGCCTATCGAGTAAGACACAACAGGTGAATGACCACCGTCTCACCTGACCCTCTCGTAGCCTTCGGGAAGTCAGGTCATACTTCTGGAACGCCCACTGGAAAAAGGTCGTTACCCGTGTCTACGCGCACAGTGTGTGTGCGCATTGTTCTGATCAGTCGAACCGCAGGACTGGTTGCCACACGAGAATTGGACACGCTTCGACGATCTTCCGTCCAGCGAGTGGCCGACGGCTGGACCGTCGTCGGACGGGCTGGAGTACAAGGTTGTGGACTGGTGAAGATTTCCGTGTGTGTATACATACGAGTGCGTTGTGAACACTCCGACTCCTAGAATCCGGATCCGATTCGCTTTGTCCGTACGGAATGATACATACTCCTTTCGGTTCATATAAATTGTTTACCCTCGGCGCTACTTAGAAGAGTGCTTTCGTACTATATTGGCCGAAGATATTGTGACCCACAAGTTATTATGGTCAACGCGTCCCGCTGTGTGCGTGAATTGGATTGTCTGTGATTGCTAGAATCAGATAGTAGAGAAGCCATCACATGCACGTCGGGAGATAATATGTTACAAGAAAGTATCGAAGCATACATTGAGTCGACATTGAGTGGTACTTCACCAGTCCTGCAGTCCCACATTTGTGTCACAACGTTTCGGTCGTGGTTCCTAGGCTCTGAAGGATGGAAGATTTACATCCTACGAATGGGGTGATGAAAAAGAGCCGTCGCAGTGAGCATCAAGTAGTCACTGACCTGCTCATGGGTACGGGTTCCGAATCATGAGGTGCTTGAGCTCGACATCTTTCCAGATTATGTGAGTGGCGCTGATGGAAGTTTCCGAAAGGAGCCGCTCCTGGAGCTCCTGTTCATCCAGCGTCGTTGATATAGCATCGTGCAGAGTTCTAATGTCCTCCAGAGCGGGAAATATCTCAAACAGATATTCGGCGACGCACTGCGGGTCACCCACGGGCGAGAGTGCGACGTGGAGATAATCAAGTGCCGTCTGTGGGACTCTCGTTTCGTCGTTCTGCAATGGCGAGACGACACTCGCATCGAATGTTAAGTGGAGAGTCTCAAGGTGGTAGCAGTGTTGGGCGAAGCTAGCTAGACCACGGAGGGTCACTCGAGATGGAATATGACGCGAGGATCCCGCCCCAAGTGTCAAGTGTTCGATTCGTGGCCACGCGCGAGCTAAAAGCTCTATCGTAACGTCGTCCAAGTCGAATCCGACAGGATGCGAGAGATGAACCGAAACGAGATTGATGAAGGAGAACAGAGGTTCGAGAATCTCCCCTCCAACCGAATAAACAGGAGCTTGATCCATAGTTATTGTGGGTAGATCGCTAGGATGAGTCCCTGGAATGTGGATGTCTCGAAGGCTCAAGTGTGAGCAACTGTTTGCTAGAGTGGAGTAGAATTGTCGGGCGACATGTCTGGTGGGCTGATTCTCGCTATCCAGGAGCGCAAACCCTGTCAAGGAACATTCACCCAATGCAGTAAACATTGCGCTGGCCTGCTCCATTGACAACAATGCAAGCTCAGACAGCGCCGGGAAAGCCTCAGACTGGAGGAAATCCAAGGGAATCAAGCGGTCCGATCGAATAGTAAGGTCCTTCATGTGCGAAAGTTGAGCTGTATGCGCAAGGGCCACGTCATCCAGGTCGGGAACGTTCAGGGTTTCAAGATGTCTCAACCCACACACAAAAGCCGATACCACTGCGGTCGAGGCATCAAATGAATCCGAAGTCTCATCTAGCCATCCGAGGAAGAAGTGGTTGAGC